CATGTGGTGCTGGAGGATTGAACCGTGGTCCCTGTGCTTTGCTAAGCTTGTTCTAAGTAGGTGCTTTAGACCACTGAGCCATCTCACCAGCCCCCTCAATTTGATATAATTCTTAATAGTGCAATGAAGAAAAATGAATTACACGAATGCTTCCACAGACAGTAAAAAGTGACTCATTGTTACTGATGAGGACACAGACACAGTGAAACTCAAGTAAACTAAGAAGTAGCAGAACCGGGGACTACAACACATGCCTTCTGATTCCTGGGTCCTGGTCTTCTGAATCCTGAGCACGGCCACTAGCAAGCTGCACCTTGTTTTTAGTTCTTAGTCACCACTTGGAAAGAAGGGCATCGTCATCATCGCCCCAGCGCTGCGGGCAGACGCCACTCTGCCTCGCGCTCCTGGGCGCCTGCGCCCTGCCCGCCAGGCCCAGCAGCGCACTGCTCTCGCCCATGTCCGCGCCTGCGCTGCTCAGCTCCCAGGCCGCCACGAGGTGGGAGGAGCCAAGCCGAGCCGAGGCCCCCTTAGTCGAACTTTCTAAATGTAACGATTATTATTTTTTGGCTGCTAAAAATATTCCATGAGTTTAATATCCTTATATCTCCCTTTTCTTTCCCTTCTAATTTGCATAGTTACAGGTCTAATTTTGGAACATTTCAAAAAAATTCTTTTTTGAAAAAAAAAATTCTTTAATTAGTTTTGGTGCTGGAGATCAAACTCTGGGTTGCCACATATTAAACAGATGCGCAGCCTTTGAGCTACACCCCAAGCCTTAGAGCATAAAAATGCCCCAGATCTTGGAACATTAAAAAAATGAATCAGTGAGAATCCTAATATTTAATTCAATTCAGAGTTTGTCAAAGCCTACCCAGATTTACTGGCCTTAGAAATAAACACTATTCTAAATTCTAGACATTGTTCTAAATCTTGGTTTGTAAAAGTGAGTGTGGCTCTCATTCTCAGTATCAGTCCATTAAAGGGAACATGTCACAGGCCCAGATGGTCCCAAATAAGCCCCAGAGTTTAGCCATAAAACCAGCAAGATTAGGATCTCTGGGGTATTTTGTACACATTCCAAAAATACTGTGCCTAGTGGTATAATTAGATTTATAAGAAAGTTACTAAGGACTGGAAATGTGGCTCAGCAGTAGAGCACTTTTCTATCATGTGCAAGTCTCTGGGTTTGGTCCCTAGCACTGCAAAAAGAGAAAAAAAAGAAAGTTTTCAAAATGTTTAAGCAAACCAGAGTCCAAAAATTAGGAGCTGGGGGCTGGGGAGATGGCTCAGTGGAATAAGCGCTTCCCTGGCAAGCACAAGGATCTGAGTTCAATCCCTGGTTCCGCCAAAAAAAAAAAAAAAAAAAAAAAATAATAATAATAATAATAAAATGTATTTCTAACTTTTGTTGTTGTTGTTGTTGTTGTTGTTGTTGTATTTTTGGTGAAACCAGGGATTGAACTCAGGCCCTTGTGCTTGCCAGGGAAGTACTTATTCCACTGAGCCATCTCCTTGGCCCAATAAAATGTATTTCTAAAAAAAAAAAATTAGGAGCTAACAGGCTTCATGTTAGGTGTCAGGTTCGCATTTCCTGTCTCCTAGGATGAAACTAGTAAGCCCATGGAGTGACTTTAACCATAAGAAGTAACTCTACCCAGATTTACTGGCCTTAAAAATGAAACAGAAATTTAAAAATCTGAAACTTGGAGGTGCAGATGGGTAGTACCATGATGTTCTGTGTTTTATTTCAGGGTAACATTGCTACGCAAGTGTATCAAGTTGTGGTTACATTATACTCAGAAGAGAAGATACAAGCGGGTATGGGATACTTTCAAGCAGATAGCTGTGCGGCCTTACATTCTTGAACTGGCTTTGGAGAAACTCTTGGGAAAGATCTGTGCTAACAGATCCTGCTCTTCTGGTTTGGAGAAAAAGAGTGTTGTAAAGCTCAAATGTATTTCTTTTAGTCCCCATTTATGTTGTCAAAAACTGCATTCCTTCATCTGCTAGAAAAATGGAGGATGAATTCTTACTAGCCATTCATATGTATATATGTAAAATGTGTATGTATGGAATATATATACCTATATATATATATCCCCAACCCAGTGCTAGCCTCAAACTTGAGTCCTCCCTAGTACTGAGACTATAGGTATGTGCCACTAATGTGGACATCCACTCACATCTGGAGTTGCACTAATTTATTATATGAGTTAGCAAGCCTGTCACCTAGTAGGACCTTCTGGAGATATGGGGAAATATACAGAGCATAAATGCTGTACCCCGGTGCTAAACAGTGTGAGATACAGGTGCACCAGTGGGAGGAGCAGGTGGGGTCAGATTGACTAATTAGTAAAAGCAGATTGAGAAAGCTAACTTGAGTTCTATTTAAGAAATGCTGTACTTTTTTGCACGACTGCTATCCTTCACACTGCTAAGCACGGGACACGACTGTGATACAAAGTGAGCAGAATTCCTGCTCTCACACTTATCAGTAGCCGGAGGGTAACAGAAGCATGTGATCTTGCTGGCTGGGTCTAATGATTGGGGATAGCTTGTAGAATGCTGAACTAAGAAGGATTTTGAGGCCATATTCAGACCTGTTGGAGATGTTTGTTCAATTGGTGATGTCTGCATGAAAAGTGCCCCTCTTTGGCCATCCATATCAGCAAATCAAAGGAAATCACAAACCAAACTCCTCCTAGTTGTTTTTGTGCTGCCCTTTCAAAAGCAGCCACATAAAAGGGATGTCAAAGAATGCTGTGACTCTAAGCATTTTCTAAGCATGGAAGGCTAAAGTGACACAAAACGAGCCAGTGCTTGTTTTGGCCCAATCTCATCTCCATCTTCTGCTAGAATCTAAAGATGGATCTAAAGATTTTGGCTGGCTCCCTGTAGTTTTGGGATAGAATACACATTTTTTAGCAAGGCACATAAACTTGTCTAGGATCTGGTCACTGTTTCTCTACCCATCCTTCCTGTTAGCACTCCCTTCATAACTGCGCTGGCAGTTAGGCTGCATGCTGTTCCTGAACGTCCTGCTCACACTCTTGCTTCTCACTGTACCTGCAGTTCTCTGTGCTTCACTACCCTTGAAATTCAAGTGCTCAACCCCCAGCCCACCTCTACTCATAGAGTTCATCAGAGCATTCATCACACAGTTGTCTGCTGGCCTCTTCTTCTGCCAGCCTGGAACTCCTTGTGAGTACAGTCTGTCTCTCTTCTCCTTAGCCCAGCACAGTACTTGGCAAAGAACATGTGCTGACTAATATATGGATGAATGAACAAATTCATTGTCATTGATCATGTCAGAGTTTCTCTGAAGGATCACCTTGGTTGTGGGAGTTTGGATGGCTCGACATTGGCTTGTTTTGTGTCACTTTGGCCTTCCATGCTTAGAAAATGCTTAGAGTCATTGCATTCTTTGACATCCCTTTTGATTATGTGGCTGCTTTTGAAAGGATATTGCCACTTGTTCTCTTGAATTAATTTAATGCTAGTTCAGTAGAATGTTAGGAGGCTTTTTCAAAAGACTGAGTGCCAGGACGGAAAATTTGTGTTTATCCCAAGTGGAAAGCAGAAGACCTTTTTATTTCTTTCTGGGAAAGAGCGCTCATTGACCCTGGGACTCACCATATTTGAAAAGTCACCGGTCAGGGTTCTCTTATATACTGCTCCAAGTTAGTCGGCTTTTGAAGGGAAAATAAGTTTAAAGAATAGCAAGAGCACTGCTTGGCCACTACTTTTGAAAAACTTAGAGCCAACAATCTGAATGTTAGGACCAGCCAAATAGCTCAGTGGATTAAAGCGCCTGCAAGCAGGTGCAGAGGCCAGGAGTTCAATCCCCAGGCTTGCTATGCTGGCCCTGCTCCTGGAGTGCACTGAGATGGCAATTGAAATTGGGCATGGTGGTGTGTGCCTATAATTCCAGCTCTTGGGAGGCTGTAAACAGGTGGATCCCTACAAGTCTGACCTAGTAGTGAGACCCTGAACACCTTGTAGGCCCTTCCCTAAAATTAAAAAAAAAAAAAAAAAATCTGAATGTCACCTCTTGGTGTAAATATCCCAGGAACATATCTCTTCTGTTTTAGGAAAAGATGAAACTTTATTTATTCTGAGTTATTTCAAACATTATACACTAGACATATGTATTAATAAACTTTAAAAAAGTAATAGATACAGAATGACAAAATGTTTATTAATTTTTGAAGTTGGAGAATAGGTTCACAGACACTGAGAGGTGTTACTTCTATTTTTATTCACATTAAAAAATGCTCATAATAAAAAGTTCAGAGGAAAACAGGATACAGACAGAATTTTTTATTTTTATTTTTTTTGTATTTTAGGGAAGGGTGTACAGGGTGTTCAGGGTCTCACTACTGGATTGGACTCATAGTGATCCGCCTGTTTACAGCCTCCCAAAAGCTGGGATTACAGGCGTGCACTACCACACCGAGTCTCAAACACAGAAAATTTTGGAAGTGTAGAAAGACATAAAAAGAATGGAGAAAAAGATTCTTATAAGTTTGCTTTTTCAGAGAACATTTGGTAGTTAAGTCTGTATCTTTCTCTGTGTGGGTTGAAAGGCTTGTACCCATATATTCACATTCATGTGTGCATATGTACACTATGCTAGTTATCTGTTGCTTTGTTAAAAATAATCCCAAACTCTGTGCATAAGGTAACAACCATAATACTCTGTTTAAAGGTTCTCTTGCTCAAGAATTAAGACAAGACAATCACTTCTTGGCCTTTGGCTAAGATAAGTGAAATTAAGACAAAACATAATGCGTAGCTGGACATAATAATACACACCTGTAATCCTAGCAACTTAAGATGCTGAGGCAGGAGGATTGCAAGTTTGAAGCCAGTCGGGGAAATTTAGCAAGACGCTGTCTCAAAATGAAATGAAAAGGGCTGCAGCTTTAAAGTGGTAGAGCACTTGCCTAGCATGTTTGAGGACCCTAGAACTGGAGTGCAGGGAAAGCCAGTGGTGGTGGTACACACCTGTAATCCTAGCTACACAAGAGGCTGAGCTATGAAAAGTTTGAGGCTTTCTTGGACTACATGTTGAGAGCTAATCTCAGAAATAAAGATGGCTGGCAATGCAGCTCATGGCTTCTGGTTCAGTCTTCAATACTAAGAAAACAAAGTTGCTGCAAATTCAATGGGAGATGTAGATTTGGGTGGGATTGTGACTGCTCTGACCAAGAGAGCATGGTCAGATTGACACCAGATTGTGCTAAGGCCAAAGGAAAGGGCCATACACCTGCTTTGTCAACTTGAGCAGGCACTTCTGAAGCCCTGATGCCTGACTGCCTCAAGGCCCATATGCTGTGGAGAAGCTTGCCCTTCATGGCAAGGCTGCATATACACTCCCAGGTTAACACTTCAGCCCAGTTTGAGTCTTTCCAAGCCAGGAACCAGACAGCATGAAGATGCTCTGAATGATGCCAAATGCTTGCCATTAGAATCTTCCTAGCTTAGGACCCAATAATATTGGAGTAGAGACCAACCATCCCTACTAAGTCTTTTTCTTCATTCACCTTTTTGTAGGGGACAAGGGACTGAATCCAGAATCTTCACTGAGCTACATCTCTACATCCTTTTTTTTTGTGGTTTTTGAGATAGGCTCTTGCTGTGTAGTTTTAAACTCACAATCCTCCCACAAACACACATGACAAAAGACTAACAAAGGTTTTAAGGTTCAAACACCTGTATGTATCACCGCATTAAATACTGACAGTCAGATAAAACAGCTAATCAGTATGAATATCTCTAAGCAGAAAAGAAAGAACCTAGGTATATACATGGGTGCAATGTGTTTATCTAAATATATATGACGAGGATAGTCAGGTCACATATAATTAAGGAAGTGAATAATTTTTGTCTTTCATTTTTACTTAATATATTGGTAAAGATTAAACATAATGATTTTTATCTTTTTATCAACTCATTATACAGGAAGCAATTCTCCCTCATGAGTGTGACCCTGAAAGATTGATTGGTGAAAAATAAATAAAAGCAAAGCACAAAAGCCACTCATTATTTTACTTTAGCAACTGCAGGCCAGAGCAGATGGTCATTTCCAGCGCAGAGCCCTGTCTGCTGCCTTCTACACATGGAACAGACTCTGGCGATGGCACCAGCAGCAAAGCGGCCTCAACACAAGAGCAACCTGTTTTCATAGGTACGCGTGCAGTTCCTGTCAGGTATCTCTAGTCCAGCTGTGCCAGCCATACTTTGCTTCTCACCCTTCTAACCTCCCAACTTCTGGTTCTTCATGGGTTTTCGATAAGGTGAGCCTATTGATTTCATCTAATGGAAGAAGAGAGTTATTTCCTTTGGGAAAACTTTTGTCCATCTTGATCGCAAGTATTTTACAAATAGCTTGTGTTTTGTGCCTTGTCCTCATTTCATGAGGCTGAGAATTCCATTACAAACACCATTAGCTTTCTGGGTCAGCACAGTAGGACCTGACCTGTCCTTGGCTGGCATTCTTGTGATTTCCCTGAAATGTTTAGTTGCTTTGCAAGACATGGCATTCTGTACTCTTAAAATTATAGTCATCAACAAAGTTACAAAGATCCAGGAGCTACCCTACATCTTTTTAGCTTCCATTGGATCAAACTTGCCCATAGCAGCTCGTTATGATGTGTTGGCAGAACATAATGAACTGTGTCAGCCACTGTGAATTGGTGTTATGTGATGAAAGAAAGCAAATATATAAGCTCCTTCTGCCTGTGACATAATTACCTTCATTAATAACTTCCTTCTCATAGCTGTCTTGAGAGAGCAGATTGAGAATGATAAACAACCTGTATCCATGATAACACAGTCAGTAAGTGAGGAGAGCTAGGATGTAAATTCTCATCTCCCATTCCAAAGTCCAAGTGGTTTTTACTTGATCAAGAGGAGGATCTTTTCAGTGACTTTGTAGGAGCTTTGAGTTCTTGTGAAAAGACAAGGCTGATACACGGGACATAACTGAAAACCAAAAGAATAAATCTATTAATCCTTAGTTATGTCAGGGTACAGATTCTTCTAGAGCTCAGAGCTGGTACTGAGGGTAGCTGGAGAGCAAGGAAGTATGTGGGGTGTCTTTCTGTGAAGCAGGGGGATGAGGTTGGAGGCCCAAACTGGGGGTTGGACGATCTTGTAGACTGTGATAATCTTGAACTTAGAGGACTACAGATGCTGATTTGAGATCACCCAGAACTTTGGAGTCCTTGGGTATAAAGTCCAAGGAGATGATTTTAGGGAGATAGTTTCAGGAATAGAGGCTGCCAAAGGCACACCTCTTATTTCTGCCCTCTTCTGAAGGAGCAGCTTTACATTTGATTGCTGTATTGTGGTCTGGTATAAAGTCCATTTGAGAAATGGTTTTAGTATTTAAAATATGCACGCCACAAATCTTTCTTTACAAATAAGCAGTCATTACTTGCTTCTCTTGCTATTTATATTTTGCATGATAGGGGAGAAAAATTTTGATCGTATCTTCAGAGTTGCTCAGAGGAATCTCTATAAGGATTTTTGCTGGGGAGCAGGCTTGGGTTTATATTAAATTCAAGATCATCACGGTTTTTTCCTATTGTATGCACACCCCCCAGCCTCTCCAACTTAAATTGATGTACTCAATACTTGGGATACTCTCCAAAACTGTCACCTCCAAAATTATTACTGGAGACAAGAGACTGGTGTGTGGATTGGAGACAGGATGTAGCCTGGAGGCTTGTAGGATGGTGAAAACCTGACTGAGATTTTTGTTATATTTGGGTGGTTTGACCTTTTTATTTTTTACTTTCATTTATTTATTTATTTATTTGTTTGTTTGTTTGTTTGTTTTTTGAGGCAAAGTCTCAATATGTAGTGCAGGCTGGTCTTAAACTTGCTGATGTAACCCAGTGGCTGGCCTTGAACTCTTCGTGGATCCTCCTGCCTCAGCATCCTGAGTGCTAGGATTACAGATGTGCCATACCATGCCTGGCTGATCTTTTTTTTTTTTTTTTGCTCCGAATGCCTTCAGGGCAAGTTTGGCTGGCTTGAGTTGTGGTACTCTAACCACAACAACCTGAGCCTGACTGCTTTGTTGAAGAAGCCTTAAAGAACTGAGCTAAGGGGCACGCCCCCTGATCTTTTTATTAAATTTAGTCTTTTACGTTTCCTCCTTCCTGGTTTATGAGGGAACAGAGTAATTTAAGGTGTGGTTCAGAAGCTGGTTAGGCCTGAGTTCAAACCTTTGCTCTGCCACCTGGCATCTCTGTCACCCTGCGCCGGTCATTCACTCTGCACGTCAGTCTCCCTAAATGCACGGTAGAGATGGTTATATAATAGTCCCTATCTCATAGTCTGTCATGAAAAAGGCAAAAGATTTATGCAATCTGAAGAGAAACCAGAGTATTATTCTGTCATGAAAACCAAATAGGATAATATACATCAAATATTAGCAAGGTACCCAGTGTCAAATATGACAATCTTCCTAACCCTTAGAATCAGTTTGATTTGTAGTTCTTATGTTAAGCCAATTTTTTTAGCATTGGTTTGAGGTTTAGCAAATTAAAATTGCCAATATCCATCTTCTGTACTATTAGGAGTGTTTTAGGACTACAAATAGAATTTATTGTGGACTCTCATCAATTATGACTAAAAATTATAATTTGTCTTTTTTTGTTGGTAAGTTTTTTAAAAATTAAGTCTATTGCTACATTTTAAATACACATAATCATCACATTCATTCATCGTAGAGAATTTGTACCTGTATATATTATATACTGCTTCGTCTTTTTCCACCATTCTCCTACCCTCTTTTCAACCTTTCTTCCCCTCTCTCTCCCTTATTTACAAAAGCTTTCTTTCCACTTTTCCTTTTTTTTCTCATTTTCTTTTTGCTTTTGTTTCCCTTCCCTCTTGCCTACTTCCCCCTTCCCACTTGAACATTTTCTTCTTATTTCACAACATCTATTATAGACTTTTGGTTTCTCACACCAGTGCAGTATTTACACAAGTGAGTCTGATTTATTTCACTTGCATATGGTCTCAAAGTGCATTCTATTTACCTAGGAGTATCTCAATTTTAACCTTCTGTATGGCAGAGTAGTTCTCATCCATATAAAAAACCACATCTTTTTTTTGTTTGTTTGTTTTTGGTGGAACCGGGGATTGAACTCAAGCCCTTGTGCTTGCCAGGGAAGTGCTTATTCCACCGAACCATCTCCCTGGCCCAAATAGAATTTACAAAACCACATCTTCGGGGCCAGGGAATTAGCTCAGTACAATAAGCATTTGCCTGGGAAGCGCAAGGTCCTGAGTTCAATCTCTGGTTCTGCCAAAAAAAAAAAAAACCAACCCCAAAACCCACGTCTTCTTTATCCTTTCATCAGTTGATAGGCATTTGGGTTGTTTCCAAGACTTAGTTATTACAAACTATCAGTACAAACGTGGGCGTACATATATTACTGTGGTATGATGCTAGAAGGGGAGTAGCTGGTTAAAATGGAACCTCTTGTCTTAATTTTTGGAGGAATCTTCCCCATTGATTTCCATGGTGGTTGCACTAGTCTACACTCCCACCAGCAGTGGAGACGGGTTCTTCTTTCTCCACAACCTCACCTGCATTTGTCATTCGTTAATTTTTTTCTTTCCTTTTTTTTTTTTTTTTTTTTTTTTTGGTGGAAATGGGGATTGAACTCAGGTCCTTGTGCTTGCCAGGGAAGCACTTATTCTACTGAGCCATCTCCCTGGCCCCTCTGTCTTTTTCTTTCTTTCTTTCTTTCTTTCTTTCTTTCTTTCTTTCTTTCTTTTTTCTTCTGTATTTAGGACAGGGTCTACAGGGTCTCACTACATAGATCAGATTCGTAGTGATTCTCCTGTTTTCAGCCTCCCAAGTGCTGGGATTACAGGCACACTCCACCATGCCTAATCTCAATTGCTGTCTCAGCGCATCCCACAGGCAGGGATGGCATGGCATAGCACAGCAGGGATTGAACCCTGGCCACTGTGCTCTGCCTAAGCAGGCACTTTAGTCTGCTGAGCTATCAGGCCAGCTCTGATTTTTTTTTTTTTTTTCCAGTATGGAGATTGAACTCAGGACCCTGTGCCTGCCAGGCAAGCACTTATTCTACTGAGCTATCTCCCCGGCCCATGATTTCTTGATAATAGGCATTCTTTCTGGGGTGGGATGGAATCTCATTGCTTTAATTTACATTTCTCAAATGACCAGTGATATTGAACTTTTTTTAAAAAAATATTTATTTGCCATTTCTACTTCTTTGTCTAAGAAGTGTGTATTTACCTCTGATGCCTGTTTTTGAATTGGGTCTTTAAATTGGGTGGGTCTGATGTTTTGGTTCTTTATATATTCTAGATAGTAGTACTTTGAGGAATAGCTGGCAAAAAATTTTTTCCCATACTGTGGTTGTCTCTTCATTGGTGGTTTCTCTTGCTCATAAGATGAGATCACAGTTGTTGATTCTTTGTGATAGTTCATGTACAGTTGCAGTTTTATCCATAAAATCTTTGCCTGAACCTGTGCCTTCAAGAGTTCTACCTATTCTATCTTAAGTGAATTTAATGTTTTTATTTTAGTAATTTAGATCTTTTAGTTTATTTATTTATTTATTTTTTTAATACAGGTTTTTTTTTTTAATTAATTTATTTATTTGTGTGTGTGTATGTGGCCAGCTCAGCCCACCAGGGGGTGGGGCGGGCTGGCATGTGGTGCTGGGGGATTGAACCGCGGTCCCTGTGCTTTGCTAAGCTTGTTCTGAGTAGATGCTTTAGACCACTAAGCCATCTCACCAGCCCTAGATCTTTTAGTTTAGTGCATGGTGAAAGATATTGGTCTAGTTTTAATCTTCTGCATATGGAAAGCCAGCTTTCCCAGCACCATTTATTAAAGATGCTATCTTTCTTTTATTTTTATTTTTATTTTATTTATGTATTTATTTATTTATTTATTATTTTTGAGGCTATCTTTATTCCAGTGAATGTGTTTGGCATCTTTGTCAAAGATAAGGTAGATGAGTGGTTTGGGAGTTGTTTCTACATTTCTAATCTGTTCCATTGATTTTTCAGTCTGATTTTTTTTTGTCAGTACCATGCTGTTTTTATTACAGCAGCTTTGTAGTATAATTTTTTATAGTATAATTTTAAGTCAAGGATGGTGATGCCCTCTGCCTTTCCTTTGTTGCCCAGAATTGCCTTTGCTATTCTAGGTTACTTCTGGTTTCAAATGAATTTTAGAATTGTTTTCTCTGTTCTGTGAAATACGCTGTTGGAATTTTTATCAGGATTGTCTTTTGGAAGTCTGGCCATTTTCACTGTATAAGTTCTTCCTACCCAAGAGCAAGGGATATTCTTCCAATTTCCTGCTATCTCCTTCTATCTCCTTTTTTGGAGTACTGTAGTTTTCAGTGTAGAATTCTTTCTTTTTTTAAATTTTATTTATTCAATACCAGGTCTCACTATGCAGCTCAGACTTGTAGTGATTCTCCTGTATCAGCCTCGCCAATGCTGGGATTACAGGCATGTGGCACCAAGCCTGGTTTCGGGGCCAGCACGGTGCACTAAGGGTTCTAGGGCCAGGACGGCATGAGGTACTGGGGATCAAACTTGGGTTCTTGTGCTTGCCAGGCAGGCACTTAGGTAGACGAACTATCTCCCCAGCTCCATGTAGAAGTCTTTTACTTCCTTTGTTAGATTGCTTCCTAGGTATTTCATATTTAGATCTATTGTGAAAAGATGTTATTTATTGTGAAAAGATGTTATCTATTGTGAAAAGATGTTATTTGGATCTATTGTGAAAGATGTTATTTCCCTAATTTCTCTCTGTTATTCATGTACAGAAATGCTGTTGATTTTTGAGTGCTGACTTTGTATCCAGCTATGCTACTTAATTTGCTTATTAAATGTAGAAAGTGGAGTTTTTGGAGTCTTCTATGTAGAGGATCATGTTATCTTCAAATAATGATAACTTTTTCCTTTCCTAGCCTTATTCCTTTTATGTCTTTCTCTTGTCTAATTACTCTGGCTAATGTTTCCAGAACTGAATAAGAGTGGTAACATTGGATGACCATGTCTTGTTCTTGATTTTTTTTTTTTTTTTTTTTGTGGAACTGGGGATTGTTCTTGATTTAAAAGTGAAAGTTTTCACTTTTTTTACGTTTAGTATTGTGTTAGCTGTTGGTTTGTTATAGTGTTCAGAGATAGATAAAAACTATCAACAGCTGGCTTTTTCGTTTTGTTTTGTTTTTTGTTTTTTAAAAGACAGTCTTACTGTGTTGTATAAGAGGCTGGAAAGGTGAAGTGAAGACAGGAAGTAGCCAGGAAGCTTGAAGGATGGTGAAAGCCAGACTGAGATTTTGTTATCTTTGGATGGTTTGACCTTTTTATTATTGTGTTGTGTTGTGTTTTGAGGCAGGGTCTCACTATGTAGGCTGCTCTTGAACTTGCTTATGTAGCCTAGGCTGGTCTTGAACTCATAGTGATCCTCCTGCCTGGGCCTCCCCAGTGCTAGAATTACAGGCGTGTCTCATCACATCCAGCTAAGGGTACTGATTGAACCAGGGCCGTCACACTGAACTACATCCCCAACCTGTCTGTCTGTCTGTCTGTCTGTCTGTCTGTCTGTCTGTCTCTGTCTGTCTGACTATCTATCTATCTATATCTATCATCTATTTATTTATTTAGAGAAAGAGTCTGAATTGCTGAGTTGCCCAAAATGGGCTTAAGTTTACTATCCTCCTAGAATGCTTTACCATGCTGGCTTCATTATAAATTTTGTTTTGTTTTAAGAGGTCTTGCAGTATAGGTCAGGTTGATCTTGAACGCACAGTCCCCCTACTGTGCCTCCCCAGTGCTCATGTTACAGGATTACCAGCATGTGCCACCACACCTAACTGAAATCTTTTTTTTTCACCTTGACTGAACCCAGGGCCTTTGCATTGGCTGCCCCTAGTCCAGTTATGGTGAACCTTTCAGAGGTTGAATACCCAAAATGCAACCCCATAATTACTTATCAAAAAGAACTAGTGTCTCAAAGTCTGAATCGTTTTTATTCTATGCAAAGAATAAAATGTTTACTTTCTGAAAGTAACTGGAGAAATGTGTGGGGGAGGGTACTTTTTTCTTTTGACTGTTACCTATATTCCTTTCCTTTCTTATGAGAATTTATTAAAGAGAATCCAAGTATTTGGAACTTGGTTTTGTTGGATTTTTGTCTTTTTATGTTAAGTGCTTTCTTTTTATTTTTCTTCCATGGCCTTTCCATTGTTTTTAGGGAGATGTTACAGAAGAAGATGTTTACTGTCTGGCGGCAGAAGATGTTTCAGCATCGAGAAAACCGCTTGGCAGAGAGACTAGTAAGTGGCTGTCCCTGTGGCAGTGCCTGGAGTGGTAGGATCTATTTAAAGCCCCTGTCCTGTGTCCCCGCCTTAGAAAGTTGCAGGGAAGCCAGGCCCACATGGCTTGGCTGGGCCCCATGAGCTAGCAGTGAGGTCTGCGTATCTATGGTCATTGGCTATTGGAGTTTGCAGGTAGCTTCTGGGTTAGAGCACCTCCTGAATATCCATTTTCTTTTGCCTTATTCATTATTTGTGGCCTGCAGATTCTCCCAGTTTCTTTGCCTCCCTCCTACCTGACCTATTCTGTTCTCTTCCTCCTTTCCTGCCTCAGGCCATTCTCCAGGCAGAGGGGCAGCTTCTGCGTAGGTTCTGGTCCATGTGGCTCCAGCGGGTAGCAGCATGTCACCAGGAGCAGGAGTGGGAAGCAGTGGCCTGTGCCCAGCACCACCACAGACAGCTCAGAAATGCTTTCTGCATTTGGAAGGAGCATGCCCAAGGGCTCAGAAGAGAGTGAGTGGACCGTTTTTCCCCAGCCCTCTCCAGCCCACGCCAGCTTTGACTGTAACAGCCCTGTCAGCTCCAAGTGCCTATCCAGAGGGTAGTGTTACATTAGACTGGCTGTAAATTCCAGAAATTCAATCCAAAATTGTCCAAGGAAAACTGAGGTCATAGTGACAGGATCTTGGAGCACCTCATGACCTCATGGAGACAGAGCATTCTTGGATCTGGGAGGTCCTGTTCATTGGCCATATCCTGTTTGTAGCTGGGACCCATTTGAAATGACCATACCCAGGAAACAGGCTGATGGGCCCATATGAGGAGAGCCAGCCATTCCAGGGCTGGTGACTGTCTGGCCATGTGGACAGGTTGTGGCATTTTTTTTACCATACCATTTGGCTACAAGGGGTAGGGTAGACTTGTGTCCACTGCAAAGATCATCCTGTTTTGGTGCCTTTCTGCATCTGTTGTGGTACTCTCTACTCCATACTCTGAGAATCTCACTACCTCCCACACCCTGGTCACATTCAACCTCCTTTTCAGTTGGGGGGGAGGGGGGCTTCAGCATGCCTGCACAGGAGAAAGCATAAAGCTACTTGAAGCCCTATGAATGTACGTGCAAAACTTTGTAAGTGTACTTCTGTGGAAAAGAGCCCAAATCCTGCTCTTCAGAAATAACTGTGCCTCTTCCCCACAAAGTATTTATGACTGAGAGGGGCCTACGGACTTTGAATCAGAGCCATCAGGAGGCTAGTCTGGGCTGCAGTGCTAAACTCCATTTGTTCCCTGCAGGAGGATGGGCAGAGTGCGAGCTGCACGCTTCCACTCAGGGTGGCTCCTGTGCTGGGCCTGGAGCAGGTGGAGGGAGGTAAGACTTCAGTGTGGGCACCACCCAAGGGTGGCTTTTGGACAGGTGGAGCTGTGTGTCATTGTGACTCAGAACAGACAAATGGGCTCCTGGACTGTGCCTTAGGAGAAACCTGCCCCTCGACTGGGGGAGGAGGACAGGCAGCAGATGAGAAGTGTCACGACTCCATGTTCTTCTAGGTACTAGGCTGATCTTATCTGGACTTTCTTTTTTTTTTTTTTTTTTTTTTCTGGAACCAGGGATTGAACTCAGATCCTTGTGTTTGCCAGTCAAGCGCTTATCCTACTGAGCCATCTCCCTGGCCCCTATCTGGACTTTCTGAATCCAAAATTCCTCATATAACAGTTATAGGAACCATATTAAATGTATATAATTCAGGCTGACATTGATCAAGCATTTCCTGTAAGTCAGACATTTAGCCCATTTGACCCTCAAAAAAACCTTCAGGAATTATATAGCTGTAGGTGAGGAAACTGAGGCTTCCATGAGCCCAGACAGAGTGTAATATGGAGGCATACCTAGAAGTAGCCTCCACTTCAGTCACCCCTCAGCCTACAGTGCTTGTGTTGTCCTTTTTTTTTTTTTTTTTTGTGGAACTGGGGATTGAACTCAGGCCCTTGCACTTGCCAGGGAAGCGCTTATTCCACTGAGCCATCTCCCCAGCCCCTTGTGCTATCCTCTGTCCACAGAGCCTGGCCCTGCAGGCAGCTGAGCAACAGAAGCTGATGCGCGCAGACCTGCACAGCCAGCGTGCCCTGCTGCGAAAGGCTCTGCGGAAGTGGCTGGTAGAAGCACTATTTTCTACAGATCTCCTTGGGTGGGGGCAGGGGGGATTTCTGAAGACTGTTTCCTTTTCCTTCCGGCACATTCCCCAGAGTAATCTAACAAGCGTCAAATAGAGCAGATGGCCCAGATCACAAGTTTTATAGCCAACAGAGTCCATCAATCCTTGCCAGGCAAGGTGAAAATAGTAGGCACCAGCTTTACAGGAAAAGTGCCTCCGTGTCCAGGAGTTCAGGGCTTTGACCTATTAGGTGAGGATTAAGTACAACAACCTTAGGGAAGGGTCTGCTGGCTTTGAAATAGTGGCCTTCAACCTCTTCCCACCTTTGTGAGTGGTCTGGGTATATACATTACACCTTAGAGACCTACCTGGAACAGGTGGCCTATGGTCCTCATCTTCCACAGGCTTACCAAGGCAGGGTGTGGAGCATCCTTCAGGAAGTGGCAATCAGGGAGAGCAAACACAACAGACAGCTGATGCGGTGAGTCTCCCATGTCTCATGGGATACAGGCTGAGGGAGGAATAACAGCTCCAGAGCCTGGAGTTGTGGAGAGTCCTGTCTCTGACCAAGCAGAGGATGGGCCTGAGTGCCTCATACTATTTATCTTGTGGTTCTGGCTTTTTCACAGCAAGTATTCCATTTACCTGTTCTCAGCAGGTCTTTTTTTTTTTTTTTTTTTTTTTTTTTTAATGCATTTGGTACAGGGTCTTATTACACAGCTCGAACTCATAGTGATCCTCCTGTTTTCAGCCTCCCTAGCGCTGGGATTATGGGCGTGTACCACTATGCCTGGTCTCATTGGCCAGCCCAGTGCACCTGGGAACAGGGCCTATGTGACATGTGCTGGGGATTGAACCCTGGTCCCTGTGCTTGCCTAAGCAGGCACTTAAGTCCACTGAGCTATCTTGCCGGCCCTTCTTCAGCATGTCTTGAACTCATGCATTGTGTGGGGCTAGCTCTGGAAGGAGAACCTGGATGCCTACAAGGCTTCCCACTTGTCTTGCTCCTCTGTGTGCTTTTTCCTCCCTGCTTCCTCTTGCAAGTTTCAGCCTTTTGAAACTTTCTTCTCTCCTGCCTTAGAGCCTGCAGCATGCCCTTTCCTGTCACTTCCCAGGCAGTTCCCTCCCAGCAGGCTCCTCATGGTCACTTCCCAACCCTCTAGGACCGTTTGCATCTCTTAGCCCATGGAAGCCACTGTGACACACATCTTCCATTCTTTCTAAGCTAAACTCTACTGCTTCTTCCCAGGAGGCCTCTCTCTGTTTCCTCTTTCTTTTTTTTCTTTTGTATTTATTTAGCACATGCTATTCTGAATGGCCTATGGAAGTGAACCTTGTAGATTTTAAAAACCTCTGTCCTTCTGGGGTTCCATGAAATGCCATTTGGTCCTTTGGACAGCTGGGAGTAAGAAGAAACCTTCCTCAGACTAACTACAAAAGCATGTACGTGGATTTGGGTGACCTTCCTCCAGCACCCCTGTTGCTCTATACCTGTCTTTTGCTGTGAATTACCTATATCGTCATTGCCTGACTTGGCTCTGGATCACATAAACTCAGGAGGATGTGGTGTTAGTTTCTGTGCATTGCTAGGTCCCTGGTGCTCACCCAGTACCCAGCACAAATCCTAAATGCTCAGCATCTGTTGGATATAGACATGAGCATGAACTTGGTGTCAGGGCAGTAGATGCACTGCACAGAGCCCTTCCTCAGAAGTGGGGCAAGAACAAGGAGTGATTTACAGAAGCTACTTACATTCCTCCACACTGGGGTCACCTGCCCTCACCTGGCCCATGAACCCACAGGTGGGTGTTACGTCGCTGGAGAAAGAACACTATGGCCCTTGCAGATGAGACCAGAAAATCCACTCAAGCAAGAGCCCACTACAGCAGGACCATGTGTTGCAAGGTGAGGTACAGGAAGATAAGCTGGCCACCCAGGGGTTTAAGAGACATGGCATTGCCAGGGAGTGGAGCAGAGGCTGGCACCAGAGATTAGCACTGAACAAGGAACCCTTAAATGAGTAACTCTTCTGCAGCATACATACCGGGATCCATGTCTGAAGTTATTTATATTTTTACTGCATTTTGAACCAGTGTCTATGAAAATATGCTAGGCAAGCATGGTGGGTCATGCCTGTAATCCTAACTCTTAGGAGGATGAGGCAGAAGTGTTTCAGGCCAGTCTGAGCTACATAGTGAATTAATTAATGGTACCAGGAATCCAACTCATGGTGCTTGCCTGGCAGGCACTGTGCTGCTGAGCTATATCCCCAACCTCTACACGGTGAATTTAAGGCCAGCCCTGAACTATATAATTGGACCCGGTTTAAAAAAAAAAAAAAACAACATAAAAATAAAAGCATGCCACATAGCAACTGAACTGGTTCCTATCAAAACCAGTATTTTCCATACATATGGAACTTTCCACTGGGAGAAAGTAAATTACTTAGTTCCTAAGTTCCTATCATCTGTCGGAAGAGGACACTGGTTCCTGCTCACCAGTCTTACAGATCCCACAGCCACGGGCCCTTTCTGGAAAACACAGGGCTTTCCAAGAATATGAGATTCCCCAGTCATTATTAGTGGGACATGGTTTCAGAGACCAACACCTTGCTTCCTTGGCCAGAGTGGTTATGGGGAAATGGCACATGGTAGACCCGGTCCCTTTCTCTGGGGGCAGGGAAGATGGCCAGACATGGCTGTGGGAAGAAAACGTGTTAAAGAGGGAGTTGAAACAATTGAACTGACAAAGGTAACCCATGATCCTCAGATGTTTCAGAGGAAAGCTAATTGCCAGAAGCTGTGAGTGGCACCAGTTCACCTGCTGGAATGCCAGGGGGGCTGGTCCTGAGAGCTGTGGAAGTTCTTTGGAGGAGGAACAGCTATATCTGGTCAAGGCCAGTCTGTTCTCAGGAAAACTCTTGAGGCCAGCTTGTATTTTCCCTTGTTCTGAGAGGAGGACAGGAATCTGCTTGTTTCAGGGCCTGGAAGGGAAGAGTTCCCTGCCCTCTTGCAGTACTAGGGTATTGAATCCAGGGCTGCTCTTCCACTGAGCTACGTTCCAGTCCTTTAAAACTTTTTAGACAAGACTTTGCTAAGTTGTCCAAGTAGGACTTAAACTTTCAATCCCTTTGCCTCAGCCTTTGAGGAGGCCTTTTGGATAGGAATGGAGTTTGTGACTGTGTGGAGTAGAAATCAGACTGTCTTTTAAAAAATGCTTTGTTATTAGAATTAATATGTATTTTATAGAAGAGTGATGTGAACATTCTGTCACTGTGACAGAATACCTTAGAAAAATAACATAAAGTCAGATTTATTTTTGGCGCATGGTTTCAGAGCTGGTTCCATCATTGCTAGGCCTGTGGTGAGGCAAAAACATCATGGTAGAAGGGTACGGTGGGGGAAAGCTGCTCATAGTGGGGCAGCCAGGAAACATGGAGAGAGAAGCAGAGAGGGAGGAGGTGGGGACAAAATACAGTCCCCAGAGCTGGGCCTGGTAATGCATGTCCATAGTCCTAGAACTTGGGAGGTTGAGACAGACGGGAGGAGCCCTGGAAGTTTGAGGCCAGTCTGGGATACATAGTGAGTTCAAGGCCAGCCTGGAATGTATAGTGAGAAGTGTGTCTCTTCCCCCACCCTAATAAAAAGAAAGTCCCATGATCACACTCACATTACCCATTCCTCTCAAGTAGGCCCCATCTCCTAAATTTCCATTATCTCCTCACAATGCCATCAAATTATGAATCTGTGAATGGATTAATCCACTGAAGTTAGAACTGTTATGATGCAGTCACCTTACCTTTCAAAAGCCCTATTTAAGATCAAAACCAGGGCCAGGAAGATAGCTCAGCAGACTAAGCACCTGCTTAGGCAAGCACAGGGACCAGGGTTCGATCCCTGGCACCACATGTTGCTCCTGCTCTGCCCCTAGGCATACTGAGCCAGCCACCAAGTCTGGGCATGGTGGCACATGCTTGTAATCCCAGCATAGGAGAGGCTGAAAATAGGATCACTACGAGTCTGAGCAAATACATTAAAAAAAAAAAAAAAAAAAAATCCAAACGATGGTGAATACATGTATTACACATTCTGTTTAGGGCTGGGGAGATGGCTCAGTGGAATAAGCACTTCCCTGACAAATGCAAGGGTCTGAGTTCAATCCCCAGTTCCACCAAAATAAATAAATAAATAAATAAATAAATAAATAAAATAAATAAATAAATAAATAAAAGCATTAAAGCCCATTGATCAACTCCTCTGTTATAATACATGGTGTAGCCTATCGAAATTGTTCTGATTGAAAAGCACCAGTACAAGTTATATCAAGTAAAGTACAAATTCTCTGATGAATGTGATCATTATATATACTTAAAATGTACCAATAAAATCAGATTAAAAAAAAAAAAGCCAAGCACGAGTCCTTAAGGGACCTCAGTGTCTCAGTACCTTCCTGGGAGGGCTCTGAATCTCTGTTAGATGGTCTTTGTGAATGGCAGGTGCTTCCTGGAACAAGTGTGAGAACCAAGTTACAACCAGTTGGCCTTGCCTCAGGAGCCTAGAGGAAGGTGATGGCAGACCTTTTAGAGCGTTCCATGACAACAGACAGCCCACTGCAGTATGAGTGCTATAGGTTCACCACCCTGACCAACAATGTCCTCACAAGTCAGGCTGTGTTGGGATCCCCTCCTTCTTCTTTGCCTGGCTGTAGGTCCTGGTGCAGTGGCGAGAGGTGGCGTCAGTGCAGATATATTACCGACAGCAGGAGGCCTGTGCCCTCAGGGAGGCCCGAAAGGTGCTGGAGAAGGGTAAGTGGGGCCCCAGAAAGCTGGTAGTGTGGAGAGGAAGGTCAAGGATACAGAACTACTCTGGGGTTCCCTATGTTCCCTATGGCCTGTCTCTTTATGTGTACTAATCCCCTGGGGCTCCCAGGACTAAAAGGCTTCAAACAGCAGGAAATTACTCTTACAGTGCTGGGTGTCCTCAGGACTGAGCTTCCTCCCAAGGCTCTGGGAGAGGATCCTTCCTTTGCTTCCTGCTTTTGCTGGGTGCTGGCCACTGTTAGCATGTAGATACATTGCACCATCCTCAGTCTCCTCTTTCACAGGTTGGTCCTGTTCTGTGTGTCTGAGTCTTTTAAGTATACCAGGCATAATATATTCAGGATTTACCTTGTGCTGGTATGACACTTTAACTCATTACATCTGGACTGACTGTATTTCTAAGTAAATGCACATTCTCAGACTCCAGGAAGGACATGAATGCCATGGTACAGCAAAGGGGTGGGGTGGGGCGCTGTTTAATTCAGTGCATTGTCACATTCTGTTTTCAGCTGATTCTCAAGCAGTTTATGTTGCAATAAAAGGCCAAGGCCTAAGGTCCACAGGGAAATTGATGAAGCTGGAGTGGATGGGTCTTAGGTGGCCAGGGAGGGTGGTGTTCCAATGCGAAAGACCCTCCATTGCAGAGTTGCTTGTTAAGTGAGCCCCAATGGTATTAGTACCCTGGCCGCTCTGTATAGTTGGTCACTTGTTTTTTTTTTTTTCAAATTTTTTGTGGAACCGGGGATTGAACTCAGGCCGTTGCGCTTGCCAGGGAAGTGCTTATTCCACTGAGCCATCTCCCCAGCCCCAGTTGCTCACTTGTGTGTTCAGGGATTAGTTACTTGCTTAGTTGACCTACTCTGAGTCAGCTCATTCAGAAGCCCCACTACCTGCTATATAAACATGCTCAGAAAGAGTCCAGGACAGGAGTTAGTGCCCTGTATGCAAGACACTTGTGGAGATTTGTCTCCTGATGTGGTGAAGGAGCCCACAGTGGGGACATCCTGAAAGATGTAGCTCATAGTTAGATGAAAATAAGGTTGGCTATGGTGGCACACCCCTGTGGTCCCAGCACTTGGGAGGCTAAGGCAGAAGGATCACTGTGAGTTGGATGCCAGCATGTGGGATCGTTTCTCTAAAAAAATTTTTTTTAATTAAGAGATAAAGATACAAAGTTGAAAATAATTATAAGTGGCTGGTTTAAAGTGTACCACAAAGGAAAATCAGTCAAGTTAGTTTTGTTTTGTTTTTAATTAATTACTTTATTTATTTGGTGCAGGGTCTTGCTATGCAGCTCAGATTCATAGTGATCCTCCTGTCTTAGCCTCCCCAGCACTGAGATTACAGGTGTGCGCCACCACGTCTGGTTTCAGTGGCTGGTTCTGCATGTGGTACCAGGGATTGAACCCTGGGTCCTTGTGCTTGCCAGGCAGGTGCTTAGACTGATGAGCTATCTCCCTGACCCCTTTTTTTGGTGTGTTTTTGCTATTAAGAAATGCACGCGGGGGCGCAGGTGGTGTGTGCCTGCAGTTCTGGTTTCACAGGAGGTGGATCACTTGAGTCAAGGAATTCAAGACCATCCTGGGCAAAAGAGCAAGATACCTTCTTAAAAGCCGTGGGGAAGCAGCTTAGCTAGGTGTGGTGTGCACCTAATGCAGTCCCGGCTCTTTGGGAAGGTGAGGTTTGTGGATGCTTAAGCTCAGGAGTTTGGGGCCAGCATTCAAAGTGTAACAAGACCTCATCTCTAAAAAGAATTAGGGGGCTGGTGAGATGGCTCAGTGGTCTAAAGCACCTACTTAGAACAAGCTTAGCAAAGCACAGGGACGGCGGTTCAATCCCCCAGCACCACATGCCAGCCAGCCCCGCCCCCTGGTGGGCTGAACTGGCCACACACACACATAAATAAAATAAAAAAAAAAAAAAAAAAAAAAAAAAAAATTAGGGGGCTGGTGAGATAGTTCAGTGGTCTAAAGCGCCTGCTTAGGCAAGCATGCAGGGACCTTGGTTTGATCCCCAGCACCACATGCCATGCCAGCCCTGCCCGCAGGGTGGGCTGAGTGACCATAAATAAATAAATAAATAAATAAATAAATAAATAAATAAATGAAACATGTAAAAACAAATGAATAAATAAAAAGAATTAGGGATACTGCTGGCTAAGGGTCATACCTAGCTGTTAGACCTCAGGCAAATTATCCTTCCTCTGAGTCTCAGATCCTTCATCTTTAAGATGGGAATGTAGTAGTGCCTACCTTTCAAGATTGGCACTCAAGAAGATCTAGGGCGGGGCTGGAGGGATGGCTCAGTGGTCTAAAGCACCTACTTAAAACAAGCTTAGCAAAGCACAGGGACCGCAGTTCAATCCCCTAGCACCACATGCCAGCCAGCCCCGCCCCCTGGTGGGCTGAGCTGGCCACACACACACACACACACACACACAAATAAATAGATTTTTAAAAAAAAGATCTAGGGATGTGTATGCAGACAGGTAGACTCTTAAAAGCAGCACCCAAGAAATGTGAGCACTCAGTACAAATATTAGGCCTCCAGGGTCTCCTGGTGGGCTCTTCTTCCAGGTGTCATCATGCCCCAGTACTAGCCCTCTCTATTGTCTTGAAACCTTCCAGGGAGGGTGCAAGAAAATTCACCAAAGGGAGAATCTGGTGACACAGAAGCAAAATGTAAAGCCTGTAGTCAGGATGTAGCTGGCAGAGGACCATGTGGTCATGGCACAGATGGGCTTCGCTGACTGAGCCTTGGTCTCCTCCTTGGTAAAATGAAGCCACTGTCTCTTCCAAGCTTCAGCTCCAACAGGAGGGTCTCTCCTTCCAAGTGCCTGATGACTCCTTGTGTGTGGCCCTGTGCATAAGCTTGTGGCTGTGGGAGGGCCCTCAAGGCACAGCAGTGAGCAGCAGTTCTGGCTCCAGTCCTCAGGGTGCTCTTTGAACGTGGTTGTGATTCTGAAGTTTCCACTGTCCACGTATATGGATTTCACTCAGGGCCGGACATCCCATCTTCATCCCACATGACCTTTTCTGTGCTCTAAACTTTCCTGTTATAATGGAAATCCAACAAAGAACAAACCCTGGCTTGCATCTGCTGTAGGTTGTCTTCGTGCCTGGTTTCGGCGCTGGCAGGATGTTAGCCAGAAGGCTGCCCAGCAGAAAGCCCTGCTGGAGAGGGCGACCCAGCATCACCACCAGCAGCTGCTGCGGGAGGCGATGGAACGGTGGAAGACACACCATCTGGGGTGTGTCAGGAAAAGGGTGAGGCGAGTGCCAGATGCTCCAACTTCCCCTCACATGGCAGGGAGTGTCCAACCTAGGAGATCATTTCTCAGGGGGCATTTTTTCCAATAAAACTCAAGGTAGCTGTCATGAGTGCTGGGTAGTTCGAGGGTCCTGTGGAAACAAGGTTTCTGAAATGTTTCCAGAAGTTTAGCGAAGGCTGAGGCCACCAGCCTTAGAACTGGATCTCCCCCAGGGGGCTTGAGAGAGAAACCTGGTCTTCCTGACCTCTGGTTTGTTGGAGCTAGAGACACCTATAGGGCCATGTAGACACCCCCACTCCAGTGCATCATCCAAGATGATATCCGGCCATGGAAGCACAGTTCACTTGGGCTGAGGCTGCTCCAGGTAGCCTGGGATGGACAGTGGCCTGGGATGTAGGTGTGGCTGACTTCTTGTGTGCCTGCTCTCTCAGATCCTGCAGCAGCAGAGTACCCAACTCTTGGTGCAGAGACTCAGCGGGGCCTGCTTCCACCAGTGGAAACGACAGGTGGGAGCTATGTGACACAGGTTCCCTCTCCTCCCACTGGCTCAGAAGCCTGGTTGTGGATGAATTGAGCCCATACCCTAGTTGATTCTTTAGCCTTTGTCAGAGGATTTGTTCCCACTTGCTAACCCTCTAGTCATTCCCCACCACCTTTAGCTTTCTCTTATCTGCTAGAAAACTGGTCTCTCTAAGGCCACTGACATCTTAAGAGAAAGGCAGAACAGGCTGGGCATGGTGGCACACACCTATAATCCCAGCACTTGGGAGGCTGAGGCAGGGGGTTGCCATGAGTTTGAGGCCATCCTGGGCCACATAGTAAGTTCTAGGCCAACCTGAACTACATAGAGAGACACTGTTTCTAAAAACAAAACAGGAAGCCAGAAGGGGTCTCACACATTCTGCACAGCAAGCACATGGTCCTTGCTGTCCTTGCTAGAGCACCATCCTGGCTCTGCTACCGTATCACTGCAGCACTCCTCCTCCTAAGTCCAGCCTGTGGCCCCACTTGTTCCTTCCTTTGCCATCCTGCTATGGTCCACAAGTCATAAGCATGTTGTTGAGCACTTCATGGCCAGGCCTGGGGCTGAGCCCTTCCAGTTAGAAGAGGAAAGCTTCTGCTAGACAGTGATGAGCTGGGCAGAGAGAACGTAGGGCCATAAGGCCAGGGTGGCCTCCTGAATGATCCAGTCTTTCTGGTTATAGCTAGTGGCCAAGAGGCAGGAGCAACAAAGTACAGCACGGGCCCTGTGGTTCTGGGCTTTCTCTCTACAGGCAAAGGTAATAGGGGTTCATAGCCTGCTGCTTCTGGGGTGGGGGCAGTGGAAGGGCAGACGTCCACTTAGGGTGGGTCATGGCAGATCCCTAAGGGAGCCCTGAGCAGGACATCTGAGCCTCACATGCTGCCCTCCCTGGAGGCTTGGGCTGCATGGCTGGGCTTCATGCAAGAGAGGAGGAGGAAGAAGGTTCGGCTGGAACAGGCAGTTCAGGCCTATCACCGGCAGCTCCTCCAGGAGGGCACAGCCCGACTCCTGCACTTCACTGCCAGCATGAAGGCCTTCCGGCAGCAGCTGCAAGCACAGCAGCAGGTCCAGGTAGGCCCAGATCCCTTGTGAGGAATGGGCAGGGCTGGATGAGAGCTGACAGAGGCTCTGTTGCAGGCGGCCCACAGTCTCCACCGTGCAGTCCGCCACTGTGCTGAGATCTGGAAACGAAAGGTGCTGGGCTCGGGCAAGGAGTCTCAGCCCCTAGCACCCATGGCACCCAGCAGGAGAGTGACATTCGAGGGTCCCCTTCTTGACTTTGTTGCTGCTGGAGCTGGGGATGCCACTTTGGAAGCCAAGAGACTACATGCTCGGCAGTCTCGGGCAGCTCCTGGTAGCCTGGTGCCGGCTGCTGGGCAGCCCCAGCTTCTAGAGCTGTGAGTAGCTAATGCTGGACCCTGGGAGGATGGGAGGCCAGTAATGGCCTTGTCAGAACTGAGTTGTGTAGGATTCTTCTCTGGAGGGATCTTGTCCTGCCCAGGGTGTATGGGAAAGTGGATTTCCAGACACTTCTTTCTTGGGAAATGCGTGTCCTTTCCTGCAACACCTTCAACACCTTCCTGCCCCTCCCCTGCCCTGACACACAACAGGCGGAGGAACCCTAAGCCCACCATCTCGCCTATTTATTTAATTTTTTTATAGCCAGTACAGTTTACTCCCTGTCAGAGATCTCATCTTTTGAGACCTGGCACCTCTCTCTGCCACTTCCCTGGATGGCATCCCCAAGCCCTTTACCTATGTTCCCCTTGTCAAGGGAGTTGATGACTCCTGGAATAACCACTGCTGCCAGAGAGCCTCAGGCCTGACTAGGGATGGGGCAGCAGTGGGGTGGGGGTGTGAGGATGTTTCCACCAGGCCTTGGCCTTTGTCCCTGCTTTGTCCCTTCCCTGTGCTTGGCAGAAACCTAAAGGTCTCACAGGCCGCTGTGACATGTTAGGGACACCCATGTCTCTAGAGTCAAGGTACCTATCGGTGAGCTACCCACAGTATCAGGCAAGCTTCACTGGGATTGCTGGAAGTTCTGTAGGCCCAAGCCCACCCTTACATACTTGCTGACCTTTGACTCAAGCAAGCTTTATCTGGCTTTCGTCTTCTGGCCCCCCTGCATCAGCCAGAAGAATAGATCCATGTTTCTTCCCAGCAGTGCTGCCCGCTCGACAAGGAAGCAGCCACGATGCCCACACTTTCTGCTGGAACCCATGCAAAGCCAGAGGTCCCCAGAGTGTGGCACCCTCAAGGGGCAGTGGTAGGTTATGTGGTCATGGCCCCCAGCTATGACATTGCTACCTGGGGCCTATATTTTGGCGATCTGCTTTCCTTCCTGTTTGGTGCAGTGGAACCCAGAGAAGGGTTCCACAGCCTGTCCATCCTCTTGCCTTTCTCCCAGGCCTGAGAAGCCTCAGGAACAGGGCCAAGTTCTGGCCTGGCCAGCAGGCCCTTCCCTGACCAGACCCTTCCTGAGTGGGGCCCTAACAAATACTCCTGGCCTGAAGGTACCTTCTGTGGTGAATCCCAGCCCAGAACTACTGCCTCCTTCTTCCTTCGCGCCCCTCAGGGCAGGATCACCAGCCTGTGTAAGTCCTCTACCCCCAGGCCTGGTCAGCGACTCCCACTCTTTGCTCTGACCATCCTCATTCCTTTGCATTGTAAACACAGCTCTACTCATTGTTTCTGGAACACCCTAGCATGAAAAGACACAGGAAGCCTCATTCACTGAGTTAAGAGTAGGTGCCTTTGCACACCCAATCTGAGGGATACCAACAAGCTTCTCTCCTCCTGGCAGAATGGCAAAGGGGAGGAAGCTGCTGAAGGACTTTTAGCAGGGGCACCCCTTCTGGTCTTCTAACAGCGCAAGTGCCAGATGGTTAGGCAGCTGTGAGCCACATGATCCAGACAAATGTGCTGCTGTAGTACCTCGACACTGCAGCCAGTTGCTCTGGGTTGGGCAGATCTTGGAGGCCGACTAGGGTATGGAAAATGAATAGGACTCCAGGTGATGCATAGGGCCCTGGCTTGAGTAACCAGGGAGAGATGTTTTTACTGCTAATAAGAAAATGGGGTAGGGTCTAGTCTTCAGAGAGGGGTTCAGGGCTGGAGTCCTCAATACAATTTGTTGAACCCCTGGAAGCTGCTGAGGTCACTTAGACTGACTAATGCAGAGGGACGCCAGCAGGAGTAGGCAGGGGCCAAGAGAAAGGTTGAAGCTACCCAAGAAGGTGGTACCTAAAGGGAGTGGGTTGAGGGCAAGCAAGCCAGTTTCTCCCTGAGTGCGGCCATGGTGGGCCATCACCACCTGGCTGAAACTGGGTGTGGGGTCTGGAGGGTGATTTTTTTTTGCCTGCTATTGGGAGTGACATGAGTGGGGTGAGCTTAGAAGGTACAAGTCCACTGCCCAGGAGAAAAGGAGAGTGGGGAATGGGGAAGAAGGCACAGGTGTAGTGGGACAGGAAGAACTGCCTTCAACCACTGTTCTCACTGAAAACCAAGCTCACAGTCTTGAGTGCCGAACAAGGTGGAGGTGAGAGGCTGTTGAGCACAACAGGGTTGCTGGTAGGACTTTGCCAGGGATGCCAGGCCCTGGGTGAGCTGGTTAGGGTAGAGCAGAGCCTGGGATTTCCTGTTCCTGCAGCTGGAGACTTGCTCAGCCCTGTCCCTTGCAGGGCACAGTGCACAATGGGCAGTGAGACAGACTTGGAGCCTTCCTCTCATCCACCTCTCCTTTACAGTTGTCAGCACTGCCTAACACCCCTGGGCCTAAACCCAAGGCTCCCTCAGCTCTGGCCCGAGGCCCTAACCCTTACCTGCTCCTGCCTGAGGACTTCACAGGCACCAGGGCCAGGCCAGGTCTTGGCTCTGAAGCTGTAGGTGAGTACTTGGGGCCTCACAAGGCCACTCTCTACCCACTCCTGGACCATGGACTTGATGGACATGATGCTGATGCTCATGCTGGTTCAGGTGGAAGTGGTCAAATGAAACTCCTCCTCTTGCCACAGGCCACATGGACCTTGAGGCTGAGCTGGAGGGGATCCAGCAGCAATTACTGCGCTACCAGACCACCAGGCAGAACCTCTGGTGAGGTCTAGGATGTGCCCGTCCATGGCCTGTTTACAGGAGCAGATGTGGCCTAGGAAGGCAGGAGGTTCTATTTCCCTGGGGCTGATTTACCTGCAGTGCGAATGAGGTGTGGTGGTGTGTGGAGCATCCTCTCCCCACTGTGACGCCTTCACTCCTGCTTATTGAGGAAGGCCCAAGTTGGCCTCACTTGGGGTGGAGGGTGCTAGCTTTGATGGGGGATGATGACACTAAAAATGACCTACGAACCTTAATTGGGTCTTGTTATCTACCCAGTGACTATGATTCTAACACAGGTGAGATGAAGAGACCAGGCCTGTATCCTAGCTGCATCCAGCAGTCTGAGATAACACAGTATGTGGCAGCCTCAGAGATCTGGTGCAAGGTCTGGTCCCCTCATTCCCAGATCTGCAAAGAGGAGGGGTATTTTCACCAGGACCCACCCATTTACTGGTGAGGCTCAGGGATAAGCAGATGTTGGCCTCCTGAGCCAGATCCTGCATCTCCAGGCAGGGGGCCTTCTGGGCCTTTCTCCACCTCATTCCTGCTTTGCTTCTCCTTGAGCCAGACTGCCTTAAGGCTCTGCCAGGAACCAAACCTGGCAGGCAGCAGGTGTCCCCATCTGTAGGTCCTGCCAGCGACAAGCAAGCAGCTTACAAAAGTGGCTGGAATTGAGCCAGGAGGAGCCCAGGGCTGAGGACCGCGATGCAGAGCAGCAGATGCAGAAAGAGCTGGAGGAGGTAATGCCCCAAGCTAATCCCAGGGACAGTTCCCTGGGCTGTGCATCCTCTCAACTCAGCCTGTCTCTCCGTCTGTCCCCAGGTGGAACTGCAGATCCAGCAGCTGTCTGAGGAGGTTCAGGCCCAGCGCCAGCCTGTCCATGCCTGCATTGCACGCATCCAGGCCTTGCGGCGGGCTCTGCACTAATGGGTTCCCCCAGAAGACAAGTGCTATAGTCAGAGGGTAGGCTTCAGGCTACCTCCAGGAACATAAAACAATACCATGTTTCATCATTTTTTTTATTTCAAAATGCCTTGCAATTAAATGAATTTCTGTTCAGAAGTCTCCTGCTTTTCATACAAAAATACTGTGCTACTGATACAGTTGAAAAAAGTTCAATGACTTCTCCTGCAGGAGAAATTCACAGCATTCCCAGGATCAACGTAAAACCCAGCCTTGTCCCCACCAGTAGGCCCTGCGAGGCCTGTGTACCTGTCACCTGGACAGGTTTTCTAGGCACTGACCCACCATCAATGGCAGCCACAGTCGCTGGGCCAAAAGCAGCAACTTCCCTCACTTATAGGACTGGTCTGGGGAGGGAACACTACCCCACACTCTGGTCCTGATCTAGGCCTCCACATGCTGCCTGCCCTGTTCATTCTGGCTGCTTCCATGTGGAACAGTAAGTGGTTTTGCCTGCTGCAAAGAGGACTCAGCCAGCATTGGAAGGTCACTCCTCAGGGCCTATAAAGGTCCACATCATTAGTCACCATCCTCAGAAAACGGTGGCAAAGTCCAAGGCAATGCATTCAGCCAAAGATGCAAAGAAGATTCTGCTTTTCCAGCAAGCAGGGTGAGAGAAGAATAAGGCGGCCCTGTGTGGCCGTTCTGAGGAGAGGATGGGTCCACAGTCCTTACCAGGGAGAGGACTTCCCTGGGGGAGAACAAGGGGAAGGGCCAGAAAAAGCACAAAGGGTTGGCAAAAAACTTCCCGGTGATGGGAGGAGCAGCTACAGGGCACCTTAGTACTTAGAGTCTTCAAACAATATCCAAAACCAACGGAACAGTGAGCCAGGGGATGTGTGGGGTTTCCAGTTTATACAGTGTTAAAAAAGATCACCTAGTGACTCAGATCATTTCTACTGACACATTTTCTCTGTAGGGGAGGCCAAGGCATAACATGGGCTCTGGCTGCCTTGTGAAAAGGACCCAGAACCTTTTGTCTGCACCTCTGGGACAGGCAAGAGCAGATCATTCAAATCCTACCAGGTTGACACCCCATGCCCTGTGGTGCTCACCTGGACACCCTTGGGGCCTTAACAGACCCTCATACTCCTGCGTAGAGATTCCCTCAGCAGCCATAGCCAGGAAGAGGCCTTAGAGGGAGCCTAGAGCCTCCCCAAAGCGGATCTTCTGCCCTGCTTTCAGCCTGAAATTGAAGTCCTTGGGGGCCTCGAAGATGAGTACAATGGTGGAGCCCAGGTTGAACTCGCCCAGGTGCTCGCCCTTGCGCATGGGCACGCCCTCTTTGTTGGCATGTGTCACAAAGCTGAAGTCATTGTAGGAACCCTTGTTGTACCTTGGACTGTTGGTGTGTAGGTCCTGGGAGTGAGGAATGGGCAGGAGTAAGAAGTGGCTTAGACTGGGGAAGGCCACCCCTACCTGCATTTGGAGAATCCTGTTGCTTGCCCCCTAAATCCTGTCCCCAGCTCAGGATGAGAAGTAGGGACTGCATCTCAGGGTTGGGAAGCCTAGTCTAACCAGAAGTCCTATCGCTTGCTATGAGCCAGGCTCAGGAAGAAAACTCAGACTCAACTGTTCTAGCACCCTCAGCAGCCAGTTACAAAGTGACACCCAAAAGGCACCAGACTCAACGTGTGTAAGCCAGCTTTAGCCATGTGGGCACTTGCTCACACACTCTGGCCTCTGGTCTGCAGGATTCACCCCAAGCTCAGGTCCCTCCTTACTCCTGCCTCTAACCACAGCTTCTAGCAGAGGAAAATTAATCTCAGCTACCTCTAGACAGATGAGTGGCACAGAAGGAGATAGGCTTGAGCAGGCAAGGGCACCCACCAGAGCTCAGCACAGCTAGGTTTTGCCAGCGTCAAGGCCCTCCTAAAACTTACAAGCCCCAGACATCAGCTACGCAGCAGATGGGGCAAATGGACCTAAGAAAACCAGCCCCAGGGCTTTAAGCATGGCCTAGGTTCTGCTTACCCGGTCAAAGTAGATACGAATAGAGCCCACATTGGTGGCCCCCACAGCTGTTAATGAGAAAAAGCCATGTTTCCAGTCCCCTGTCAGGACTACCCGTTCATTGTGGCAGAAGAGTTCTTTGATCCAGCGGGCCATGCCAGGGTTCACAGACATCAAGGAGCCTGTAGGAACAAGAAACATGCCACTTGCTGTGCACAGCTGAGATGGCCCAAGACCCAGAGAGGATCATGGCCTGTTACCTCAGTGTCAGTCCAAATACAGTGATCCCCAGCCCAGCCAGCCTAAAGCAGTCAACTCCTGGCCTTGACCACCCCAGACTGGAGCCTGGCCTCCCAACACCAAGAAGCTGAGGCCTCTGTATGAAGCCCATGGGGGCAGCTCCCACCCAAGGGCCATCCCTGGGCCTACCTGGGAAGTGGCGCCTGTGAGAGACAGTCCAGTCAGTGGGGGAGTGGAAGCAGTGGTAGTCTCCAGGGGCCAGGTAGATGACACAGTGGTAGAGCTCATTCCCTTCCCGGGTGACCAAGTGGTTTCTGAAGGAGTCACATGAGGCTGTAGGGTACAGCAGAAAAGACAGCAAAGCTTCAGAGGGGCTCTGGCTGATATCAAGCCCATGTGACAGGGTAAGCATCCAGCATAGGCCTGCATGGAGCCTGGACAGCCAGGAAGGCCCCAAGGTGTACAAGTGATTCCTGGCCCCACCCCCTGAGAAGACCAGCTTGCCACTACTGAGCCTGCCAGTCTTTCCTTTCTCTCTGTCCCACTCTCCCTCCCTCAACCTTTGATATCAGCCAGCCCTAACCAGGCAGTGACCTACCTGGGGGGAAGGACAGGTCCTCCGTGTAGGTGCGAGGGCCCAGGAATGACTCCAGTGAGTAGGTGACCCCCTTCACTTGCTCGACCTCACAGTTCTTCACCTGCCCAAAGTTGAGGATCTTCCCATCCGATGGGCTGATCTGGAGGGGCCAGAGAGACTTGATAACAAGGAAGAGACTTGATAACTTGATCCCCTAGTCCTCTGTCTAGGGGATCCACACCTTATCTCCAGTACTCAGAGTTCTACCTCCTGGCACATTCTGGACAGTCCTGACCTGGACTGTGTGGGGAAGTAGGGCCAGCTTGGGAGAGCTGCCTAAAGGGGCTATATCCAGTGGGGGCTGCTAGGCTTGGTTCACAAACAGGCAAAACTGCCATTTCCAGAGGAACAGATGCAAGAGATGGGCCTCACCACACTGTGCAGACCACAGACAGGCCGGGCCTGTGGCTTCAGCTTGCGCCGGAAGAACTCGCTGAGGTTGCGGTAGTGGTGCAGATCCTCTACAGCTGCCTCCTTCATGTTCACCCCAAAGGTCCAGATGTACAAGCTGTAGACAGGCCGGCGAAGCCAGTGTGGCAGCTCCACCTGGTTGAGGCGACCCCAGGCCCGTGACAGCAAACGTGTTGGCACTGACTTGTACAGGGCTACCTGTAGGCACAGGGCAAGAGACTGAGTTGGCCCCGCTCCAAAGAGCTGGAGTGTAGTTGCCAGCCCAGCCCAGCCCATCCCCCACCACAAGACAGAAAAAAGAAGAAGCTACCTGGGACACCTAGGTGCCCCAGTCTGCTTTTGTGATGTGGTTATTTCTCACTAGGAACCAGACTGCACTTGCCAAACACTCTCATATCCTGAGGACTAGATGTTAATACCTATGAGGTCATTTTATTCATTTCATGCAAAAGTCAAAGAGCAACTGCCCTCATATCAACAAAGGACATGGACCAAACAGTATTAACTGCTTGAAAAGAGGCATCATAAATGGACCTGGAACTAGCCTGAGACAGATTACAGAGGAGATAGACTACAGAGGAAGTGTGCATGCTGCTTTTGGCCCTGGCTGCTCATATCCCAGCCCACTCAAAGAGCAGGATGCTTCTAGGAGCATGGGACTGGTCTGTCTACAATCCAAAGTAGACATCAGCCTTCCTTCAAAGAAGCAAGGTGATATATGCTATAACCATGTCTTCCAGGTCCAAGATGACCTAAGGATCTAGGTCTTAGAGGACTGACATCAAGGAGGCTATAGGAACAAGAAACATGCCACTTGCTGTGCAGAGTTGTGCATCTTGGGATGGCCCAAGACCCAGAGAGGATCACGGCCTGTTGCCTCAGTGTTAGTTCAAATACAGAGTTTCCTGGCCCAGCCAGCCTAAAGCAGTCAACTCCTGGCCTTGACCCCCGACACCAAGAAGCTGAGGCCTCTGTGTGAAACCCATGGGGGCAGCTCCCATTCATAGGCCCCACAGGAGGCCTGGCCTTCAGGGACAGCCTATACCTGAGCCAGTAAATCAGCAGCCTGCACCTAGGACTCTCCCTAGAGATAGAAGAGAAATTGCCCTTTGGACCTCCTTTTAGGTCCTTCCAGCCTGGAGCATCTAAGGACAAACCCCAGTCCCTCTTGCTGTGTACAGCTGAGATGGCCCAGTCCCACATGTGAGACCCAGAGGTCTTCTGAAAAGCTGGGTAGCCTCTCCAACATCAGGTGCCACTGCCTAGTGGAAACTACCTTGGACTGGCGCTGCTGCTTTCCTGAACACAACCAAGCACTAACTCCAAGGTGTACAAGTCATTTCACAAGTTTCATTACCACTGAGGTTCTAAATTATCACCTAAAGTGACCCAGGGCTGCTGTATGACCCTACAGCAGTGATGGCAAACTTTTTAGAACTTTCGGTGACAACAGACAGATGGCTGCAGCACTCATATGACAGTTTGCTACCGCTGCCCTGGGCCCTTGCTTGGCAACTAGCTGCCACCTGCTGTAATGTCCAATACACCTCAGTGTCTGTAGGCTCTTGTGATGCTCATCCTGGTCCTAAGGGCCCAAAAGCATGTTTTCCTCCTTGGGGTCAGCCTGCCTGGGAGCTGAAGGCAAGAGAATGCCCTAGGGCAAGCACCTGTGCAGCCTCCTGGTTCCTCAAGGATGTCCTCATACTAATGGTCCCATTCCTGAATTAACACTGGCATCCAGGAATTTGGATTCTTATCAAAATTGCCTCTAAGCTCTCTTCTGTCCAAACAGAGTCACCATTTTCTGATTGCCGAGTCTAACTTCCAGAAGCAGAACCCCCAGTGGCACCCAGGAGGCAGACAAGGAGCAAATAAGGAACACTGGACACTTAGTCCACACAGATACTAATGAACCTGGCTCAAAAGCTTCCCTTCTAGGAGCCTCTTTCCAACCACTGACGCATCCCACACCAACCACCCATTGGTGAAGTCCCTACTTCTAGTTCTAACAACTTGTCCCTTTCTTGGTCTCCCCTGTGCCCCACCCTGAGGCCTGCCTAGGACAGGGCTTGGGGCCACTAAGGCCTATACGCACTTACCCTGCTTACAGGCCGCCATCCCACCCGGCTGAGCGGCCTGAGGGCACCAAAGGGCAGGAGGTAGTACAGGACAGTCAGGGGCCAGGAGCGCAGTTTCAGGGCAGGTCTGGACATACAGGTCAGCTGGCCAAGCCTCCGCCGCAGGGCCAGCTGGGGAAAGTGCAACCTGTAGGGCATAAGCCAAGGTCAGGGGCTGGGGTCTTAACAGGGACCCAGGAGCACCCCATCTTGACCATTGCCATTCCACTCCCCATCCTCAGCAAACTACCTCTTGAATGGAGCCCAGTGAGGACTCAGTGCCCCCTGTCCCAGTCTTATTGAGTAAGGGTCTTGGCTGCCTCTCTGGCTGACTCATTTCCTAGTCTCTCCTACCTGCCAACTGGCTGAGGAGAACCGGACAGCAAGACCCAGTTTAGGCCCAACTCCTGGGCACCTCACAGACAGCACCTTCTCAGCATGGGAGCATTCCTGGCAAGGGCCTCAAGGTTCCAAAACAAGAAAAATGAGGTGCAGAGCCTGCCTCATAGCCTCAGTTTCCCATGGCCACAGGGAGTAGAAAGGACCGTTCTGCCATACAGGTAACAGGTCCTGAGTCCAAACAGCACAGCAGTGTACCACTATGCTATCATTTGGTCAGCTGGTGACTGCCTGCAAATCACCTTGCTCCCATCCCATTGCAAGACCTGGGAAAAATCTTTTCATGGCTCCAGCCCTTTTACTTCCTTCTCTACTAAATTAAAGGACAGGGTCAGACAAGATCTCAAAGGATATGTATATGCATGTCCGTGCGCTCACGCGCGCGTGCGCACACACACACACACACACACACACCCCTAAAGCTATAGTTCTGTCTTATCTGCATGGGCTTTCTACAGTAGGGTAGCTTCTCTAATACGCATCCACAGGTTTGTGGGGGAGGGCCCTCAGCTAAAGCCACACACGGTACCCTGGCTCCTCCTTTCAACAGTGTGGGTAGTCCTCTACCCAGTTCCCTACAAAGTCCCCCTGTCACATGCCCAGGCCCTCAAACATAGTCCTGAGGCACTAGTTCAGAATACTACACTGCCACCCACTCAGATGTCCTCAGGCCTCAGCTTTCTAACCTGCAAAGTGACTACATTCAACTGGACAGTAAGGTTGCTATCTGCATCTGAGCTCTTAACAGAAGCTCAGTCCTCTGCTCCCCAAGTGCTGGGCAAACCAGGGAACAAAGGGGCATCTCAACTGGGCATAAAGAGCTGAGCAAGGGAGAGAAGAGCAGCAGGCCCTGCAGTCTATGATTGCAGAGGAAGGCAGGGTTGTGCTCTGCAGGCAGCCGCATCCCCACAGCTCACCAGATGCCCTGCTTTCCTTCTAAGTCTCTCCCATCCCATTCTATTTTGTTTTTAAAAGGTCTGGACAGGTGGCAGGGGCCAAGCAAAGACAAATCACTGCTGTCCCTCAGGGGCTTCCCCACCCTGTTTATTGCAGAATAACAGAGACCAATCTTAGAAGGGCTACAGGCAGCCCTGCTTCCTGAAATAAGGGTCTGGAAGGGGAGAAGAGGGGGCCTGGAAACCCCATCTAAGGGCCAAGAGAGTAGTTCAGAAGCCTATGACCACCTCCCCCCACTGACCCCTCCTCAAGGCCCAAGTACCTGAAGCGGGCTCTCTTACTGAGGGCATTCAGACCGCCCTCGCCAGGCCCTTCCAGCCGCGGGGGCTGACCCCCAGTACCCCCACTGCTACCTCCACTTCGAGGCCGGTGGACATGAACTCTGACCTTCCGGAGATTGTGGCGGGGCACAGTAGGGTTAGGACGCGGCGGTGGGCAGCATCTCACCATTTCGCTGCTGCTGGGAGCTCTGGTCCTCGCCGCGCCTCTGACTGACACATTGTGGGCAGGCACAAGGAGGCGGCGCAAAGGTTCCTGTGCTCTCGCTCGCTCGCCTTTGTTTTCCTTTCCTTCCTCCCCTTCCCCCCTTACTGGAGGATCTCCTGTGCTGCTACTTCTCAAGGGGTGGTGAGGGCTGGTGGCGCTGCTTCCCGGCTTGGCTCAGTCTCAGTCACTCACAGGACACAGGTTAGGATGGCCAGGCCTATTGTAAACAGACAGGCACTGGTCACACACTTGCTCAGGCCTCCAGCTTGTCACCCACTCAGGCTTGCAACTCAGGGCAGAAGCTGCTACACTTGGCCCACTCTGCTGCCCCAGGCTGAGCCACAGAGCCCAGCTCACCCACTCCCTTAACTGGGCTGTGAGGGCAGAAGGTAGAGGAGGCCCTGTGGCTACATACTCTCTATGGCAGGAAGGAGAACCAGACGTTGCCAGGGCTTCCAGGCACCACTGGGCTCTAAAGAAACAAGGTGGGAATCTGAGCCCTGTGCTCTAGGCTGGTGGCCCCTCCCTCACCAGGACCTGACCCATTTTCCATTCAGGTTACAAAGGAGTATCTTAAGAATGAAAGTAGTGGGCTGCCAAATAAGGTACCTTGGTCAGAACCTGGGCAGTAGATCTGCTCCAGCTCTCTTCGAGCCTGAGAGCCCCTTGATACCTAGCTCTGACCCTCTTCTGGCCTCCTCAGAAACTGTGTACCTGGATGGTCTCAGGAAAATCCAGCCTGGTAGCGGGAAGAGGCTACACCATTCTGCTCAGCTTGTTCCATCTCTGCCTCAGAAAAGCACTTTGGCCAGGCTCCTCCCTGACTATCTATCTGCAGGAACCACCCTGCCTGGACAAGGTCTTCCCTCTACATAGATAACAGGGGGAGAAAAGCAAATGTTCCACAGCTGTTGCTGTCCCAGCCCAGGGCAGTCAAGGTTGTGAAGGCTGGTGGGGTGGGATGGGGTGGACGGACACAAGATGAGGGAGAAGACTGTGGTCTGCGGACATACACTGATTGTGAGCCCCTGCACCTGGCCTCCAATTTCAACTGGAGTCTGGGAATGGAGCAGGTACATGTGTCACTATCTTTGGATGAAGAAATGTGGGCCCTAAGAGCTGCTACTTAAGGTGGAGACTAGATCCATGGAAGAACCAGCTGGTACTGCTAACACACTGTGACACAGCAAAAGGCCTCAACTTCAACATCACTCTAGCCACAAAGTGATCTGCAATGGTCAGGTTACTCCATTCTGCCTATGTACGGAGCTCACAACTATCTTCTGAATTCCCACTGGCCAGGGAAACTGGCCTGGGAGCTGTTGGGCGGTCAAGGTGAGCCTGGTGCCTGGCTCCACAGAGGGAGGTTCTTTCTCTGTTCTAAAAAGCATAGAATGGAAACAGAGGAGCTAAGCTCACACCAGGATTCTTGAGAAAGCAAGCATGGCCTTGTGGGGGTGGAGAGAAAGGAGGGGACGCTGTGACTTCTAGCCTCTGCCAAGTTTTCTTTACTGTCCTACCATTTGGGACACTAACTACAATAGCACTGAACGTGTCCAGTAGGAGCCTCCAAAACCAGGGCGTGGCAAAACAAGCTTGGCCAAAATATACAGGTTCTCAAAGGAGAGATGACTGTGGGAATTCTAGAACTTCATTCTCCCACATCCTGCCTGTCCAGGTTAAGTCCTGCTGAAGATCAGTGGTCTCTGGTGCCAGGGATCTGGCAGAATAGATGACTCACCAGGATGAGAGGGCCAGGGCTCCTCCTGCCCACACAGAGGAAGCTCAAGGGGACGACCTCAAAGGAGCTGCTTCTGTAGAAGGACAAGAACTGTCCTGAGTTGGGTCACCCAACTGTACTTGCCCACAGGGAAGGTAGGCACAGGTACAAATCCTTGTCATACTGCTATTTTCCCTCTTCTAAAACGGGACACTGGGAGCAAGGTGTGTGAGTTCACCCCAAGCCCCGTCCACAGGTCCTGAAGGCTGGGCACCAGCCCAGAGCTGCAGAAGGAAGGAAAAGAATCCCTGTAGCCTCTGTCTCATCTCCCAGGCAGAGCCGCATCTTGGCCAGCCGTGCTTCCAGCCTCCCCTTTCAGAGCCCACTTGCCAATTACCTGTAACAGCCCTTGCTCTCAAAGCCAGAGATTTTACTCCCTTGACCCTTAAGTACTCAGGCCTGATTAAGAAACATGCAAAGAGGGGGCCTGAGGTTGGGTGCAGTGGGGATAGTTGGAGGGCATGGACCATTTCCTCTCAAGCTCCCCAGAGCCAGGACCACCCAGTTGTTATGCCCAGAGAGGTGACCAATCCCCTCTCCCTCATGTTTCCAGGGCTAGGAGTAGATAAAACTTCACAAATAGGGAACCAGAAAGTGAACTCTCCCTTGCCAAAATGGTTGAGTCATCCTGATACCTTATGGGTAAGAGGGGCTGACAGATTAGACTCTTTCTCAGTCCCCCCCCCCCAAAAAAAAAGCAGCTCTGGCACCTGTAGGGCACACTACAAAGAAGCTATGTGCCATCTGTACCCCAGGCTTTAGATGGTGAAAAGGAGAGAGACAAGTCTGGAGGCCTTGGGGCCTCCTGAACAACAGGGTTACTTCCCTCTCTCTCAAGTGACAGGTCCCCCAGACCCTGAAGCAACACTGAGGAAATGCTCACTAGGGAGCCCAGGGCAGCAGGCTGTGCTAGAGCAGCACTTCTCAGCATTTGCCTCACTTCCCGCCACCAGCGCTACAAGTAAGGGACTTTACAGAATGTGGAGGAAGTGAGCTAATACAGACAATGGCCCTGTGATCGGACAGGGGACAGAAGGCCAAAATGTGATCAACACTATTCAAATATACTCAAATATACTGTAGAAGGACAAGAACTGGCCCAGGGGGTTCCACCATCAGGGGGTTCCTAGCTGACAAAGAGCCAACCTGCAGCCACAAAAGTGCTAGAAAGACACTCCTACAGAGTCAAAAGTAGTCCCCCAGCTGGCTAAGGCAGGGCAGGGCAGGGCAGGGCAGGTCGGGGCGGGGCGGGGCGGGGCGGGGGGGGGGGGGGGGGGGAACCTCTCTGAGAAACTGTTTGCTGCGGCAAGTCACCTGTGGCTCCAATGGTTTCACTCTCTGGCAGATGGGTCCT